GATGGCGAATGCCAGAGCCGCCTTTGTTCTGCAGACCAGCTGTGGACGGCGCGTTAGAACACCCATCGATGGCACCGCAATGTCGTAGCACGGGGCGTGCCATGAAACGCCACGTTGGTTCCCGTTTAAATGTAAATTCTAACGACCGCGCCCATTTCAAGAGAGGTTGCGTGACCCCCCCCCCCCCCCCTATCAAAGCGAACCACGTGGCGTGAATGCGAACAGCTGCGACACAGGGTTGGCGACTGTGCCGCAGACGACTCCGTGATGTTATTCTCACCTTCGTGTCGCGTACCACTTTTGCTCGCCACTTTTTCAGTTGGAGCCAGCACGATCCCGCAAAAAGCCCGTGTAACGGTGTCACCGGCCTCTTGCATGCCACGGCAACTTCTCTTTCCTTGCTGCTGAGGCCGATGTCACCGCAAATTCGCTTTCCTGGCGTGGGATACTGAGGCCAGCTGGGGAGTTCTGAGGTGTTCCGGTCTGGTCCGGTGCCGCACCAGAGCTGCGGCAGAGCGCGACGTCAGGCCTCGTGCGGCCCACGCCGGCGGCCAGCCGTCGGGCCGGGGTGACGCCCGTCTGGCGCCGCAGCCGTCGCTGCCGGACCTGGACCGGCGCCGGCCGCGCCGCGATCCGTACCCGAGCCGGCAGGCCGGCCGCACGAAAACGTGAGCCGCACGATGATGTCAGCGGCCGGCCGGTGCGACGCGGCGCGGCCGGCTGGCAGGCCAGGTACCGCCGGCTGGTTGGGTGGCCGCCGACGGGCCGGCTGGCGGGGGCCGCCGGAAGCGCCAGCTGATGTCGGTCGCTTCGTCGCTCCAGTTGGGAGGCGGCCGACACCGGCGGCCAGATTCAGCTGGCAGCTCTGGCCGACCGATCGAATGATGCGTAGCGGCCACTTGCACCGCCAGGTACCCGCTCTTGGGGAAGGAGTTCTATTCGCTAGCATGTTTCGCTGATGTCAGCGATTGTCTTCTCTGATGACAAAGCGTCTAGTTACAGTTTGCATGACGTGGCTGGCCGGCAACAGTTGAGCTCACACGGCCGTGTGGCACGGGCAGAACTCGCACTCATCTGCGTCAACTCATCGCGTTCCGTCCGGGTGCGTGCGATCTCGCTGCGGCCGCTGACGCTGAGCCGTGCGGCGGTGAGGCGCGATCCCGCGGCGGGCGGCACTGGCCGGCCCTGCTGACCTGAGCGGTGCGCTCCGTTGCAGAGTGTCCGGGCGGCAACGGCTCGCTTGGGAGGTGACTGACGCCCCGGCGGCAGCGAACACACCAGGTGAGCAGCCGCGCGCCCAGCGGCCCCGCAGCGGAGGTCCCTCAGCGGCGGCGTGCTGGCCGGGCGTGTGGTGAACTATCGACGGCGTGATGCGGGACGTCGTGTTCCCGTCGTGTCGACCAGCCCTCCCGCGTGAGAAAAGGCAGGCCCTGCCAGCGCCTCCCGCCCCACCATTGAGAGGGCCGTCAGATCCTGCCGGTGACATGTGTGTGACGCCGGCCGGTGGCCTGTGGGTGGCGCCCCCGCCGTCCGTCGGACGGCAGCTGGCTCGAGTGGTGGGAATCCGGCCGTCTGTGCGTCGTGAGGCAGGTCGGCCGGAGGCGGCGGCGCTCGGCTCTGGGACCCGGCGCCGCCCCGCCAACCGACCGGCCGACCGGCCGGCCGTGTGGGAGGCTGGCGCCAGACAAACCGCGACCAGTCCGGCAGAACGGACGACGCTGGCTCGCCGCGCCGGCCGCGTGGAACGCCGCGCCGCCGGCGGACGCCCGGCTGTCGACCCGCGGGGTGGCGGCGCGACGGCTGCTGTCGACTGGAGAGGCGGCCGGCGGCGTGGAGACTGTCCGCCGGCCTGCCACTGGCGGGCTGGGCGCGTGCTCCGCTGGCCGCCGCGCCACTCATGTCAGCACACCGTCAGTGACACAGAGTGCTGACGCTCTCTGTCACTGCAGCTGACGGCCAGCGCGACCCCAGTCCGCTGCTCAAGGCCGGCAGACACACGGGCTTGCTTCTGACCGGAGCTGGACTCTGTGACGGCCACAGGCGCAAGCACTGGCAGCGGTCAGCAACAGAGGCGCGTGCGAGGACGACGAGAAGGCGCCTCACGCTGCCCACGGAGCCGTGCCACCGACAGGGTTCGCCGCGCCTGGCCCACATCTGCACTCGCAGCGCCCGCCGCACCGGTGCCGCGCCCCGCCGCGTTCAGCCCTCTGTGCGACGCCGTCGCCCTGGCTGGCCTCAGCGCCCGCGCCGCGTGTCGGTCGGGATGTATCACCGCCCGTGCGCGCTCCCGGCGGATGGACAGCGACCACGGCGCCTGCGGCCACGGTCTGCTGGCGACGGGCTTCACAAAGGTCAAGTGGCGTAAGGCGCGATGGTAACGCGGATCTCGGCGAAACTTGCCGTTTACATCACCGGTCAAGCTCCCCTTATCAGCTCCATAATACCAGCCACTTTCTGCGAAGTGCTCTTAATCCGTTCGTGTCCGGGCCATCTCGAAGGTTGTCGACTGGATGTCTCATTATCGTTCAAGTCACGAATGTGGCTTGGTGACTGGCAATGCAGCAGGGGCTGCGGTCGAGCTCGTTACGCTGAGGAATGGGACCGACGATTTGTCCTTTGGCATGGCCGTCGGAACGCGGCTGCAAACTGCTCGAGAACGTCCACCAGCGGCGCTGCAGCGCTGGCTGAGAGCTGTTGAGTAATGGCCCAATGTGCATGCATGAACAGCTTCAGGTGACCGGCTCGGCATGCTTGACGGGTCGGCGGCTGGCCCAGCTATGGCCGTCAGCCCCGGCTGGCGGGATACGGTCAGGGACTCGAGACGGCGTCTGCCCTTGATCGTGACCGGCGGTCGGCAGCGCCGCCGCGCGGCCGCCCGGCGAGGCTGGCGGGCCGGCCGGCTGTACCGCCCCGTGGCGTCATGGCGCAGCGCGGGAGGCGCCGGCGCGCTCCGACCAGCGAGCCGCCGCAGCCCGGCGCGTAACCGTACGCGGCGCCGCGCCTCTGAGCTCGGCATTGTGTGGGCCCGGGCTCGGCGGCCGGGAGCGGTGACGCCCGATGGGCTTCGTCCAAGTGCCGTGTCAGCGCCCGGCGTCGGCCCATAGCCGGGCCCGTGACGCAGCAGATGCCGCCCAGTTGTCGGAGGGGCGTGGGGGTGGCCTCCCGTCCGCTGGCGGCCGGCCGCCCTGCCACTCCGCTATTAACGCTGATTTGTGGGAGCTCGCCCGTCATTAGCGGAAGGACGGCCGATTCCAACCTGTCCCTGTCCGTCAAATGCCGGCGTTTTGTCGCATCAGATGTACGATGCCGGCACCTGCCCGCTAAAAACAGGTCTCTGCACTGGCGGCGCGCTGTCGCCGTTTTTGCCAGACGCCTCAGGCGGCCGTCGGCCGTATCGGGCTGTTTTTCGGCGGCCCGTTCCGTTGTCTTCTGTCCACCTGCGCGGTGCCCGACCTCGAGGGCGCTGGGCTGCCCGTCGTCACCGCCGGCACGCGCTCCTCCCGCGGTGCGAACGGCCGACGTTGCCAGGCGCACCGCCGGCCGCCTCTGGGCGTCGTCCGTCGCTGCAAGTTTTTTGCGAGATCGACGGCCACCCGGAGGTTGGTCCGGAGCGCTGGCCGGAGATGGCCGGGGTCGCCGTTTTTTGCCGGCGTAGACGGATGGCGGCCACCGACCGCTCGTTTTTTTGTGTGTCGGTGCCGGCAGATCAATGCTCGCTGGGGCCGCGTTGGGACGCTAATTGTGTGGCCGCGCGGCGCCCGACGATGGCGACGGTGTCGGTGTCGCGGCCACGCCCTGGTGGCGAAGCTGAAGCTGAGGCGGGCGGCGGCGGCGGCGGCGCCGTCGCCTCGGTTCGGCGCGTGAGCACCCGCTGCGGCGGGCGGACCGCTGCGGGCGTGGGGCCGCCTGGGCCGCCGCTCCGCTCTGCAGCCCGAGCGGTGCCCGACGACCGCGGCCGCCGGGCACCGCTCGGGCCGCTGCATCAGCCGCACGCCGGGCATGGTGCGCTTGGCGCCCACTCTTGGCAACAGGTCCGACCACTCCCCGACGGCGGCGGAGGCGGCGGCGTGGTGCGCGCGCAGCGAACCAAGCCTTTGTGGCCGGGCCGCCTCGGCGCGTGGCCCCCATCGATCGCCGTCGGAGCAGCGGCTCTCAAACGGCGTCCTGCCGGGGCGTGTCGCCCGCGGGCGTTTGAGAGGCCCGCCAGAGTGGGCATGCTGACCGCCGGAGGTGGCACGTCAACCGAGCCGCCGTTTTATTGTGACTTTGTTTCTAGAGCTTGGAGGAGCTGGTCTTGCGTTACAGAAGACTCGTCGTGAATGCATCCAGGGTTAGTCGTTGGGTTAAAGCGTAAATGCGTGGACCACGTACGTGTGACATGGTCTTCATTTAGCTTTATTTGGACCGTTAAACCATGTGTCGATTTCTTAGGAGATGCTTGTTCTATCCATTCTTCTCCATGAAATGAATGTTAAATATGACAGCAGCGTGCAGATTTTGCCAGTCCTGAAATGCTTCCTGCCAGTGGTGGCCGCGTCTGCTTGAAGTTTCGGCCCAAGCCTTCACTTGATGTGATAGCACTCCTATCGTGCGATAAGATAGCGCCTGTTTGCGGCTGTTGGTCGTGCGGTCTATCAGAGGTCCCGTCATTCGCAAGCCATCGAACCAACCGCGGGCTGAATTGTCGGTTTTTTATTCCTTTGGATTAGAGCCCTTTGGGCCAGCCATAACCATTCAAGGCCGTGGGCTGGAGAGAAGAGAATGGTGAGGAAAGACTGCATGGGTCTGGGATTACTTCGTTCCCAAGACCACCGCGCGCAGGGATCGCTGTTCAGGGCTTACGCCGCGCGGCTCCCTATGCAGGCTGCCTCGGATAAACGCGGTGTTGCGGAGATGCGGAATGAAGCGGTTTTTGATGAAATGAGGGTGGATGAGCCTCCGCGGCTTTGACAAAGAGCGACTGGCCACCGCCGCCTCGAGTGCCGTGGGTTGTCCTCACTATGGTGTGCGTGCCGGCCGACCGAGCAGCTTGCCTGCTGCTCAGTACTCCGCCAGACTGTGTGCCGCTCATCACTCCGCTCAGCATCCCGCTCATCACCCCGCCAGGCTGTGTGCCGCTCATCACTCCGCTTATCATCCCGCTCATCACCCCGCCAGGCTGTGTGCCGCTCATCACTCCGGCCATCGCCCCGCCAGGCTGTGTGCCGTTCATCACCGTGCTCATCACCCCGCTCATCACGCCGCCAGGCTGTGTGCCGCTCATCACTCCGCTCATCATCCCGCCCATCACCCCGTCAGGCTGTGAACCGCTGATCACCCTGCTCATCACCCCGCTCATCACCCCGCTCATCACGCCGCCAGGCTTGTGTGCCGTTCATCACCCGCTCATCAGCCCGCTCATCACCCCGCTCATCACGCCGCCAGGCTGTGTGCCGTTCATCACCCGCTCATTAGCCCGCCCCACCGGGCCGCTCGGCGGGCGGCTCCATGCCAGTATGGTCCGGCGGTGATCGGCTGGTCGGAGCCGGGACTCGAGAGCTGGGTCAGCCCGGTCACGCAGCGCTGCGCCATCGATCACGCAGGGGCGGCCCGGGCGCCTCGGGCGGCCGCGCCCGACCGGCGCCCCCGCCCGCCGTCGCCGCCGTTGCTCCGCCGTCGGCTGGATGTGCGGCGCTATTTCGGGCCTGGGTCCACGCCCCGCTGGCGGCTGTCGTGTGCAATGCCCCCAATTGTGGCGACGCGCTGCACGCCGGCCGCGTCGCCGCCGCCGCCACCGCCACCGCCAGCAGGCTGACTGAAGTAGTTAAGAGTGTGCTGCGGCAAGTGTTGGCCGGCTCTCGCTGGATGAGTCGTGATGCCGCGTCCTGGTACGGTCGTCACTCGCTCGTCGTCTGCTCTGCTGTGTATCAGTTGTGCTGCACCGACACGTCATCTCACGTTTGTCGTGTGCTCTGAGCCTGTTTTGCACCTTTCGTGTTTCGTCCCGCAAAGCCGGTCCTCTATCACGTCTTTTCAACTGCTCGAGGTCGGTTTTCGGTCTGCCGTGCACCAGCGACGCCTGTCTGATGCCGTGACGGGTCTGCGCGCGCTGCGGCGTCGCCGGCCCCGCCCGGGCAGCGTCCCCGGAGCGCGTGCCAGCTGGACCACGCCTGGCCGCGCCCGGCCCCCCGTCCGAACGGCTCCAGCGGGCGACGAATTATTGATCTCGGCCGGCCGGGCGGACGCGGCTGAAATGTATCGATCGTACCTGGAAGGTGCGGTGGCCGGGTGTCGGGGGCGGCCCCACGCGCCGGCCGCCCGGCCCCCGGCACCGGCTCCGGCTCCGGCTCCGGTGCAGCGGCCGGTCTGGGCTGCTGCTGCGCCGGCCCTGCGCGGCACCGACCGGTTTGGACAGGTCCGGTATGGTGATGTCGATTTTTTCGTTCGATGCAAAGTGGTTGTTTTGCATTCGGGTGGTTGAGGCCGGCAGTCACGCCGAATGCTTGTCACAGAACCCGTGTCGTGCTGGCGTGATAGCTGGTACGGAACATGTGGTGACGGCCCTGCAGTCGTCATATCGGGGGAGCGTCCAGACTCCGATGGTGGCAGGCGCCACGACATGTTGCCATCCCGAGATTCACTGAGACCAGTCCGCTCGCTCTTGGATATTCGTGTTGAATGTGCAGAAGATAATTGTGGCTTCACTGCACGCATCAGCAGCGCGGTTTCTTGGAGCAGGCTGGTCGGCTCATTGACCCGGAGCTCTGAAGCGGATGGCCACCGCCGCATGCACTTAAACGATAGGGCCTGCATAGAGATTTACTGGGGCGAGGGGGGGGGGGGGGGGGGGCAGAAAGCATTGCCATCGTCATTGCCATTGATTCCTAGCGTGGAACACATTCCTATTATGATTGACTTGAGTTTTAAGGTCACCTGGGCTATTTCACTTCTTCACATTCGTAATTTCCTGCATCAGTTTATGGGCTCTTTCCAAAGTGCGATGGCTGATCTCCGGCTGGTTAGGGCTGCTGCGCGTTGACGCATAGTTCATTCGGGCGTTTTTGTGTGTTGGGTTCGGACGGGAGTCCAATTTGCGTAGTTTATTTATCACTTTCCTCCCCTCCCCCTGTCGACTGTTTTACTGCCTACTACGTTCTATCCCCGCTGCCGCGTCCTCACTCATGTTCACATGCGAGATCACCTTTCACACCTGCCGACGCGGCCTCGAAGCCCTGTTTTGTTCAGTCGGCAGACGAAAGCGTGCCCGAAAGGCAAAAACAGCGCCGGCCGCCGGCGGGCCCCCATTTCGCGTCTGCGCCGCCGCCGATCACGTCGGTAGAGCATGTTGCCACGGCTGCTATTAGCGGCACGCAGCAGACCGGCGCTCGGCATGGCCGGGCCGGGCGGCGGCCGGCGGTCGGCGGCAGCACCCCGCCGGCCGTCGGGCCGCCAAGTGGCGTCAAGGCCGCGTCGGCCGCCGCCGGACTCGCCGCTGCTCCCAGTGCCGCGCGCTGGCGCGTACCCCCAGCGCGACTCTTGCGGCCGACCGACGGTCGGGCTGAGGCGGGCCGGCGCGGCCGCACGGCCGGCTGAGGCCGGACGGTGGTGCCCCACTCGCTGATGCGTCAGCTCGGGGCCAGGCGGGCTTGGAACGGCGCTGACCGTCGCTGTCACGTGACTCCTCTCGGTGGTGTAAACACATGCCGTCGCGCCGCGGCGCGCGGCGTCACTGGAGAGCGCCGGCAAGAAGTCGTGAGACTGCGCGCTCCCACCCGGCGCTCAGGGCGTGCGTGTTTGCCTGTTTGGTGTTCGCGATCGTCGCCCTGTTTGGCTGGCGAGCTGTTGCGACAGCCGGCGGCCGCTGGGTTGTGTCAGGTCCCGTCGTCCGGACGGCTGGCGGCGCCCCTTCTGCGCCTCGCGGCGCTGCTGTCCGTGTTTGCGCTGGCTCGGTAGCGGCCGCTGTTTGCCGGTCTGTTGATTGTTGGGTGGGTCCGATAGCGGCTTGTATCGGTGGCCACGGGGGGCTGCATGGTCACCGTCTCGCCGGCGCCGATAACGTGCCCCGCGAGCGACGTCCGAGACGGCGCGGGGGGGGGGGGGGGGGAGCGATGGACGGTCCTGGACGGGCGCTGTGGCCTCGGCGGCCGCGGTTGGGAGGACGGGGGACAGAAGCTGCACTCGGTCTTCTTTTGTCGCGTTGTCGACAGCCGCCGGGCCGGCCACTCAGGGCCGGCTGTGTTTGCTGCCGCCCGGCGCCGGCCCCGGCCCCGTCCCAGCCAGGGTGCAGCGCAGACATCGATTTGCCGTCCGGCGGGCGGAGGCGTGGATGCGCTCCGGCCGGGAAGTAGGCCGCCGCCGCCGCCGCCGCCGCCGCCGCCGCAGCTGAGCTGGGCTGGGCTGGGCTGGGCTGAGTGACGCCGGCGGCGGCCTGGCGCCGGCGCCGGCAGGTCGGCTCGTCGGCGCGCTGAGTCGGTCTGCTCGCGCCGGCGCCAGAACTGCCTGCGATGCGAACACCACCATGCCGGCGCCTCTTCCGTCATGGTCATGGCATCAGTCGCTTCATCCGTGTCCGTGGTGTTTGTCATCAGCGATGTGCGGTAGGCTGCGGGCGAACCCTGCTGCCATCTGGGCCCGTCATGGCGGCCGATATGTCGTTACAGCTCTTGATCGAACCGCACGCGCGGTAACATATGCTTTAAGACGGCTACGTGATTTAGACCAGTTTTCGCTCCTTTTTGCACACAATCACTTCAGAACGAACCCTGCGAAGAAACGGCAGCCGATGGAGCCGAAGGTGCTTGTAGGCGACAATGAACACAAAGACACAAGTGATGGTATTGGGCTTCTGAAATTACTTTTGCTTGGCGTTCGTTAGGTCTGTAACGATGGACGTAAGAGGCGTGGGAACAGAAACAAGTACACGCCAGATAATGGGAGGCGTCCATTCACCTTATGACTAACTGGAAATAATAGCATCCGTGAGCCTATATTTTGGAACAAAGACTCAGACAGGCACCGGACATCAGATGGGCACCGACCATCGACACGGCTTACACCAGCCATAGCATTCGTCCGTCTTCTGCCACGATCCCTGCACATGCTGTTTGTGTGCTGTCCGCTGCTTGGCTCACTGTGCCCACGAGTTGAGGCCGTGCCGAGGATGTCAGCACCAGCCGCCGGTCTGGGACGGCCGTCGGTTGCCGCGGCGGTCCCCTCTTCGGTGCGGGCCGGCGCCGCCCGGTCTCCCCGCTCCGACGCTGACGCCGCCGCGGTGGTCCGGCGACCGTGACACGGGACGGCCGGCGGCCGGTGACAGCCGACGAGCGGCGCGCTCCGGATGGAGGTGCGCCGCTGACCGCTGGCACAGCTGCTCCTGGGCGGGCCGCGCTCAGACACGTGCAGCTGTAGACAGGCCTGCCTGCCGCGGCACAGTCCACCGCGCCGTCTCGAGCCGGGCCGCTCCGCGCTGGCGGGAAGTCCCGCTGACCACCCCGGCGTCATGCGCCCCGAGAACCTGCGTAGAATGCCGTCCGGCCGGAGCGCGCCGGATGTTCAGCATTCCGCCGTAGAAGCCGCCTCCTCGGCGCGCGGGGGTCGGCCGTGCGTCGCCCTTCGGGGGCCGGTGAATGCATGTTCTGGTCTGATTGCGCTGTGTGACGGTGAGCTCGGCGGCGGCCTGGGCCGAGGTCGGGCCGGCGCTGTCGCCTCCCGCCATTCACGCCGCCAGCCGGCACCGCCTCCTCCCAATCCCTGCCGGCGGCCCCCGGCGGCCGGCGCGCGGTGGCCCAGTTTGACGGTGCCGCGGACACTGTCCCAGTAATTGGTCCGCTCTGTCGGAGGTCATCGACCCGCTGGTCGCGGCGTACGTGTCGTCGGGCGGTGTCGCCGCCGACGTAGCCGACGCGCAAGAGGGTCCACGTCGGTGGAGGCAGCTAAAAATGGCCGAGGCGCTGGCCGGCCGGCCGACCATGGGCGTGACTCACACGCCAGGCCGACGTGTCAGCGTGGCTCCAGCTGTGATGGGGTCGTACTGTCGCCGGGGACGGGCGCGCTGACCGGCGACACGCCCTCGTCCTGGCTGCGCCGATCGGTTCAGGGGGGGGGGGAGGGGGCACCGGCCGGCCGCTGTCGGATGGCGCGGGGAGTTCGTGGTGCGGTCTGTGTCTGACACTGTGCGACCTTGGGACCGCTGCAGTCATGCGGAGACCCGTGGAGCTCTGGCACGTGATCGGGTGTCTCGATACATTCTCAGTGGGGGACGCCATGCCTTGTTGTGACGTGAGGTCAACGCTGAGCCGTGTTCTCGGCGACTGTGCACAGCAACCAGCCGTGACGCAGCACAGTTCGAACGAATGAGGACACAACATGCAAAGGACATCTGCCTTGACCTCGTTAGATGACGCTAGTCGTTCATAGTGATGCAGATGGTGCTAACACGGCCGGCGGTGCAGACTGGATGACATTGCCGTGGCGGGTGACGTCCGGCGGCAGCGGCCGGCGCTTCCACGCTGGAGCGACGGCACTGTCACTG